TGCCACCTTCCTGATATGCCTAAGGACAGAGCCACATGTGTCTATTTCATCACAGAAGTGCCCTTTCTTATTCAGTTCTGTGCCTCTGGAGTGTGGTTCGGGCACCATCATTTCCCAGGCCTAGGTAGAGCCCTGAGCATTTGTAAGTGTACTTGATGAATCTATGCACGCTGTGGAATAATTTCTTTCACTGACTGGCTAACAAGCAATTCTACATACTCAGGAGTCATCTACTTGAGCAAAAGTACCACTGTGGTAATAACTGGAATAATGAAGTACTACCCAAGGTGAACTTGTGTCACCAGGGCCCTTTCTGAAAAGGCAAAGTTTTTAATTATTTTAAATATAAAAAAGATTTGTTCTCAGATGTAAAGATAAAGTGCTTCCTCCTGCTCCTATAAGATGAGAGAGAGTGAGAGAGAGAGAGGGACAGAGAGACAGACAGACAGACAGACAGAGACAGAGAGACAGAGAGATAGAGATAGAGAGACAGAGACAGAGACAGAGACAGAGACAGAGACAGAGACAGAGACAGAGACAAGAAAGTCTAGTGGACATTCAAGGTGGAATAAAGCTGGTGGACCAGCTTTTACTTGGTGTAGAGGAAAGCCAAGCAGGAATATAGAAAGTTGTATACAAAGCTTGAAGACAGGAAAATCAGCCAGACCTTTATCTAGAATGTGGAATATATTTAGACCAATGAAAGCAGTGTTTGTGTTTTGCTTTTCAAGAATCCATTCATCCAGTTGTTCTTCAACCTTCTTTAAGCACAGACTGTGTTCCAGGGCAATCTGCAAGGGGCTAAGCAAAAACAGTCCCTGCTCTCCTGGGGCACACAGTCCAGTATCATCTCAAGAAAAAGTTCCAGGCTACAAAAAGCTGCAAAAGTGGCAAGCTGAAACATTCATTATAAAAGAAACCAGTGAGGAGCTGAAAACTTAACCTTAAGTAACTTGCCTTACAACAGTAAGGAAAGGCCTCTCTGACAAGGTCTAATTTAAACACTGCAAGACAAAGAAGGAGAAATGGTAATAGGACAAGATGGGCCCCCAAGGGCAAATGCCCTGAGCTAGAAAAGGTCTGGGCACCAAGAATTGAAAGTGACTGGAGTAAAGGAGAGAGGAGTAGGCAGGCTGCGGAGACTACAGGCCAGCATGCCCAGCTAAGGTTCTGGCCTGGCAGCAGCCAATGGTTTCCACCTGGTATACCTTTCAGCACCACCACACTGCATCTGTGCAGAGACTTCAGAAGCAAAATGTGTTCTGCTGTCTGAGCACAGAATGAAAATTTCCTGGACCAAAATAAAGCACCATGAGGCAGCGAGATAGCTCAGAGGTTTAAAGTGTCTGGTTAGGGGCTGGAGAGATGGCTCAGTGGTCTAAAGCACCTACTTGGAACAAGCTTTGCAAGCACAGGGACCACGGTTCGATCCCCCAGCACCACATGCCGGCCAGCCCAGCCCCCAGGTGGGCTGAGCTGGCCACACACACACACACACACACACACACACACACACAAAATAAATTGTTTAAATAAATAAATAAAGTGTCTGGTTAAATAAATAAATAAATAAATAGTCTGGTTAGGCAAGCTGAGGCAAGCTCAGGGACCAGGGTTTGATCCCTGGCACCACATGCTGTAGCAGGTGGCCACAAAAAAGGAAGGAGGAGGAGGAGGAGGAGGAGGAGGAAGGAGGAGGAGGAGGAGAAAAAGGAAGGAGGAGGAGGAGAAGAAAAAGGAAGAAGGAGGAGGAGGTGGAGAAGGAGAAGAAGAAAAAGGAAGAAGGAGGAAGAAGAAGGAGAAGGAGAAGGAGGAGAAGGAGGAGGAGAAGAAGAAGAAACTGAGAGAGTGTAGAAGAAGAAGCAGGAGGAGGAGAAGGAGAAGGAGAAGAAGAAGAAGAAGGAGAAGAAGAAGAAGGAGAAGAAGAAGAAACTGAGGGAGTGTAGACAGCTTCACAGTTTAAAAGTGAAAGCAACAAAAGTTAGGGGAGAAAAAAAAAGATGGCTAACAAAGATGGCTAACATCCAGTTACCATCCATATATGAGTTGTCTAAAATGTAATGCAGCCCATGTGGGGCTACTACCTACAAGACATGCTATATCTACAGATATCAGTATCTCTAACAGCCTGAGTACAAAAATAACAGGAACTATGTGTAGCTGTTCTGAGAAACCACAGCAGCACACTGGGCTAATACTTCAGTAAATGGTTTTCCTCTTATAGTCAGGATGGTGCCTGAGCCTTAGGAATAACTGTTTTCTGTATTTGGGTGGATGTTACAATTCTTACTTGTAAGTAAAGCTGCACCAGATAAACCAACTATTAATCTCTTTAGGCTCCATGATGGACAGTAGAGAAAATAAGCACAGCTTGTTAAAGACCTTAGTACCAAATTGGGTGCCTCATGTCAAATATCTCAAAGGCATATTATAGTACCACATAATGACCAGTAGGAAAAGACAACTATAAAATGCAAATCTATAAACAATATCATGTTCTCCACCCTTAATAACTGTCTTTCCATAGAACTTCTGGGAAAACTAGCATGTGGAGAGATCCCCAGGGTTTGCCCTCAGCAATCCACCTTGTTTATTCCATGTGCTACACACCAACAGGTCCCCAAGGCCAGAGACCAGCACTGCTCCACCACTGCACACATTCAGACTTGGTGTCTTCCCATCTATTTGTTCCTAATTACCTATCTAAGTGTTTCCATCACCCTTCCTACGAAGCTGGTACACGGTTAAGCCCTCGGACTCCCTTGGGGCAGTTGTCTAGGTGGGCATCTATTTTTTCCGTACTTGGTACAAAGTTGCACCAGGAGATATGACTTGTGAAAGACATAGAGCAAGCACATAATCACATGTACCAGGGAAGAAGTCCTCCTTGACACCAGCTCAGGCCTCACAGAAACAGAATCAGACCATAAATAGAGATAACCCTAACCTGCAGTGATTTTATTTGGAAGGTGATGTTATTTTTTGTTCCTCTTGACTATTAACTCTGGCCTTTTATATGCATTTCAAGGACTTTGCTGAAACAGATACTCTAATTTAGTTGACACATGAATGGTCTCTTTCAGAAAGACCTTCCCCTGACATTCCAGTGGAAAGTATAGAACTTCAGTCTTTTACCCTTTGTTTCTTTATAAGCCTAGCATTTATTTGAACACTATTTTAGTTTAGTGGTCCATCTCCCAGTTGTCCTCACACCTTTAGTCATTACAACTATAAGCTGCCTGCTTGGATCCAATCATGCAACTATAGAAGAGTTCCATCACTACACTCTATGCCTGCATTCACCTCATTCTGAAGCTCAACACCCTTGGCCTGTTCCTTCTGATTTGGTCTGCCATCACCTGCAATGATGGAACTCGATCTTTATCCAAACCACCAATAATGCATTTTACTGCAGGGCCCACATTTCTGCAACTGCAGCAAGGAGATAAAGAAGGTGCACACTCTGCTGAATGAAGACCTGGCTATGCCTGGCTCCTCTTAGGGATCTCTGCAAACTGGCTGTGATAGTAAACTGATTGTCAACTTGAGTAAGAAACACCCACCTAATCAGATCAACATAGTTCTGGGTGTGACTGAAGGGATTTACTGAAGACAGAAGTCGCAACCTGGGTGTGTGGCACCAACCAATAGGCTTCTAGCTTAGTTGGAATAAAAGGGAAATGGAGAATGAGGGCTAGCTTCTGTTTCTTTGGAGGAGTTCCAGTCTTCACCTTCATCTCGGACATTGTCTCCTGGCTTCCAGTGCAGACTCCTCAGCCTCCTCATATGGACTCACAATGGACTGTATAGTGAGAACCAGGCCTTAGACTCTTCCACACCTGACTCTCTGAGCAGCCACTGTAAGCCTACCTTGTAAATCCTTATATATTTTTATGCCTTCCATTAAATCTGCTTCTCTAGTGAGCACTGATTGATACACTGGCATATGTTTCTACTTCATGTAATCATTTTTACTACACATGTAATCATTTTTACTACACATTTTTACTACAGCCACAAGCCTACCCATGAAGCCAATATTCTCCACATTAAAAAAAGACAAAAAGCAACATAAGCATAGATCTACACACAACCTACACTGTCATTTGAGTCCAGAGGTGTTCTCTGACCTCTTTCAGCTCTTAATAACATTTTTAACAATACATGATATATACTATGTTCAACATTTCAGGAATTGTTGCTTCAAATTCCTGTCTGAGTTATAGGAAGCTTCTCCATTATTATGGACCCTTAACTTACAAACTCAATTCAGTCCCAAAGGATAGTGGTAACTCATATTGCCAACTGAAGGTGCAGGCTCCTCTATACAACCTTCAGTGTCTCTGTCCTATACACAGGCAGATCTGAGTGTCCTTAGAGAGCAACTGGCCCAAGATTTCTCAATTAACCCCATACGGGACAGGACTTGTAATGTTCCTTCCAAAACGTGTATCTCACCATCTGGAAGCACAAGTGGCCTGCATTCAGGTCATAATTCAAGACTTTTTTTGTAAGTAAAACTAGAAATATGGTCATGACACAAGTTATTCATATATTAGGCCAGTCATAACTTAAGGGTCCACTGTTCCCTTTTAAATCACTAAGTGCATGAGCTACTCAAACGTCACCTGTAACCCTGGAACTTGGAATTATTTGAGTGTGCATACATTTTTTTCCTCTTAACATGTTGTCTCAGGAAAACTTGCTTCTAAAAGGGACTCATCATCTCCATAATGCTCTTAAGGGCCTTCTGGTCACTGCGATTTCTATAATTTAATGCTACCTGTTACATTGTTTCCTCATTCACTTGTCAAACTGTACAACACAAAACTCTGCGCAACCTTTGTTAGATCTCTTCTGATCAACTCAAAAATCTTCTATATGGGCTCATACATTGACCTGCTGACACATCTCCTTCTGTGTCTCTCCATGCCAGAAAAGTGTTGTTCCCAAAGGTAAAGAATATGACAGAGAGAGGCAACAGCCCCAAGAGTACTCACTGAGGGGTTTTAGAATGCTACTGCTGGATTCGTCTGCATTTTCCACATCTGACTTGTCAGAGTAGTTCTCAGAGATTCGCTCCTTCTCCTTCTTTTCCTTGTGCCCTGTCCTTCTCTTGTGCCTTCTCCTCCTCCGGTAGCTCTTAGGCACGTGGACTCCGATATAGATGGTATGGTGGCCTAAGAAACATACACAGATCACCCATGATTTCAAACTGCATTCTCTCCTGCACACAACTCACAGAAAACCCACATTGTAGAAGGTGTGTGAACTCCACATTACCATTCTACATTTGAAAACTCATGCTGGAAAAAACAGAATTTCTTCTCCATTTTTAGTTAGCTACAGTACAATTGTACCTGTTGCATAACTCTAGGATTTCATGAAGGTGCATGGTGGTTCTGTCAAATTGACTATTTTTTAGGATAACCAAAGGATACCAAACTAGAAAGCAGGAATCCTTGGCAACCTCTACCATCAATTACCTCTATGACCTTCCATTCATTTCATAATCACTTTGGGCCTTAACCTCATCATTATCTAATGAAAGCCTTAACCTGAGTGACCTCAGAGGTCTTTCCAACTCTAACCTTCCACAAGTCTGTCATGTTGACACAGGGGCTAGAAAAGATGCCATTGAGGCTAGAAAAATGAAGCCCTTATTCAAAGTCCAAAAAGTCGTTTTTGCTGAGGATAAGGTTTTCCAGAACAACTTTCTTTTAACCCAATCAGCAGAACAGAGAGTTAGAACTGGGACAAAGGGGAAAAGTAAGACATACTTGGCAAGGAAATTTTAGAAATACTCTAATGTTCACACTAGGAAACAGTTAAAATAATTTCGGAGTGCCATTCTCGTTTTCCTTTTTTCGTTTCTAAAAACTGGTTGTTGCAATGATAAAAATAAACTCAGCCCAGCAAAAATTGCCATAAAGAGAAGGGCATGAAGAAAAAAAGACTGAAATACTTTCAGTTCTCTAGATGGAAGGAGCTGCAAAATTGACAAGTGGCATTATTTTTACAAAATCTAATAAGAAAAAAAAAAAGGAATACAAAGTCCTGTGCCTTTTTTTAAAAAAACCTGGAAAATATTTACTTTTGTTTTACATGCAGCATAACTACTGAATGTGGGAGCCCTCATTTCAGAACTAAGTTAACCCCTCTTTTGACCTGCAAATTAGATTAGCTTATCTCATCTACAAGTTTTGGTACCCCTTTGTAGAACTGTACTATGTTACTGTGGTCAACACACCACACTCCAACATCATGCACATGCAACACTACTCCAAACCGACTGCTAGGACTACATCTAGTCACTCCTCAGGCCTCTTCTTAAAACAGTCATTCACAGAGGTATTTCCTTAATTTAGCAGAGATAAAAAGAATTATAAGTAGCTTCAAGAAAGAGACTCCAATGAAGGATGGGAAACCCCTGAGTGAATTAGCTGGTATTCAAAAGGAAATACAGATACTTGGAATACATTTGGAGGCATGCATACACACACACACACACACACACACACACACACACACACACACACACACCATAATTTGCTGCTACGAAGCATCTCAGTATTCTCCCCTCAGAACATGTGCCAATGAGATACTTATCATGGTGAACCATTTGTAAGCAAATTGTTCTCATGGGAAAACTATATTATACTAGGAAGTAGGAAATGTCTCAGAAACAATGTGAATTAAGAAACAGTGTCAATTGTTTCCTGCCCTTCAGTTACCTAGGGAGTCCTGCAGTTTTATCACCTCTCTATAATAGAGGGAGCAGAACCAACCAAGTTCTTCAGTAAACCAAACCCTGAAGAGTAATTAAGAAAGCATTCTTTCTTTGTCTCTTGCTCTCTGAAACACACATACACACACACACACACACACACACACACACACTAAGAAATTAAGAGATAAGCAAATCTTTTTATAATTTGTCACCTTAAATATTTTATATACCATAAAAAATAATGGGAACCAGGGGGAAAAGGTAAGGTAGATTAGTCATGTGGACGTTACATAGAAAGATTTAATATATTTACCCATATCTGTACAGTACAATCAAGTCATTTAAAAGATAAATGTGGGCTGACAGGGTTTAAAGTAAGATTTCTGACTGAAAAACTTCCACCTAATGAGATATGGTGACTCATTAAGTGAACCTTCAAACTCCTTATCTCTTGGCACCTGGTGTGAGGTGTTATCATCCCACAAGGCCATTTAGTTCACTCTCTGAGCACAGGCACCACCCTGAAGCAGATCACTGGCCCTGCCTCATCCACCCCACTCCCACTCCCTGCCACCTGGTGGGGGCGACTTCAAACATGACACAATAATCCATAGAGCCATGCTACCTGGGCATCAAGTGAAAATGGGTCCCCATTTCAGGCAACTTTATTGAGATATAATTTATAAATCAGAAAATCCACCCATTGTAAGAGAATAATTCAATAAAAAGTCAACTATCACCATAATCTAACTTTATAACCTTTATGCATATTCAAAAGCATTGCGCTCACTGGCAGCCATTCTGTTCCTACCATTGTGATGACCTAGGAAGCCACAGTTCTCCAGTTCTCACATAGCTGCTGTGTTTTGTGGGGTTCCTCACAACAGGGTAAAAAAGAACATCCCCAAGAGGAAGACCCTGCCTTCCAGGAACTGCCAGAGGAAATGATAGCACTGAGCTGAGCAATCCAAAACTCAAAGTGCCCTCCTTCTCTTCCCCAACCTGATACTGGGAACCGAATTTCCCTCTTCTGTTTTGTGCTCAGCTAGAGAAGGAAATGATTCCAGGGTTAAGAAGGTGGTCAGAGGTTAGGAACTGCTTTATCAATAACTGCTCTCCACTTAGACCAAGACAGCCTTTCTTGATGAGTGGCAATGAGGCAGGCACTGTTTCTCAAAGTGTTAGCCCAATATTTTAAAAGCCATATATGCCAAATAACAGGAGCTACAAAGACAAGATAAGCTGAGATGGAAGCATTGTTACTGACCCCACAGTATACCTGTGTTCATGAGCAACAGGACCAGCATTACTGCTGGAAATGTTACTGTTGATTATAGGTGAATCTCAGTACTTAGTTTTATTAAAATATCTTGCCATGTCTCAGACATATGTCATGAAGATGTATGACTATTATTAAATTATAATTAGAAAATGACTTCAAAATTTTAGGGGAACCAGAAATACTGAGGGTTTGGTATTATCTTACATATAAAAACGAAAAAAAAATTGGCAGCCAAACTTTCCAACCCTGTGAGTCTATAAAATAGTAAGATGTTCAAATAATCCAGGATAGTTATCTGCTTCTTGCAAGAGAATTTTTTTAGGCTCAAAAAAAAAAAATTCTCTGACAGAAATTCCAGGAAAAACTGTTTCCAGAGATAATGAAAGAAGAAATAGCAAAACTTTCTTAAACAACTATAATTCATAAAGAACAGGTGATTGTTTTAAGCTCTATTGAAATAAAGGCCACATTCTTGCTAAGAACTATAAAGTAAAGTTACTGGAATCCACACACTTAGGTGTGCAGGCAAAGGGCGTTCCTCAGTTTGGCAAGAGCCTCCATGCCATGTGTTCAAAAAAATAACCCTACAGCACATGCCTTACCCTGCCAGACAGTGTGAGTTCCAACAAATTGTAAAGGCTTCAGTGGGTTGGGAAGTTAACTCAACCACCGAAACTGGGCATGGTGATGCACATCTGTAACCCCAGCATTAGGGAGGCTGAAACAGGAGGATCACTATGAGTCTGAGCTGCATAGTGAGACCCTATACCAAATGAATAAATAGATAAATGAATAAATAAAAGACTTTTAAAAAGGCTTCAGGAGTCTCTCTCAGTCCACAATGCAGCCAGTACTCAGAAAAAAACATGGCTGTCTTGGTTTATCTTTAAATGTCAAAGATAATTACTCCTAGGTTCTCATTTCTTCCCATCTCCACTTGCTCCCTCTTGTTTGCAAGCAGGAAGAACTGGGAGGCTATCACATGCAATTCTCTCAATTCTAAGGATACATGACCTAACCGCATATTTCTGATTTTTACCATACTGCATTTTTTAGAAAACACAAAATTCTTAATACTTAATTTCTTGGTTACCATTCAAGAAATGGTATTACACAGACCCCACCTTCACTGTTCATGATGATTTAGAAATTAGAAAAATATTTACCAACAAAATTAAAAATTCCATAGCTGAATTCTTCAGTTTTCCACCCTCTTCCCCCCCCGGAAAAAAAAAAAAATTAACATACAAATGTTATACTTTGTTTTTTTGTTTGTTTGGATTTTTTGTTTTTGTTTTTGTTCTTTTCTTTTCTTTTTTATTTTAGGGAAGGGTCTAGAGGGTGTTCAGCATCTCACTACTAGACCAGACTCATAGTGATTTTCCTGTTTACAGCCTTCCAAGAGCTGGGATTACAGGCGTGCACCACCACACTCAGTCTTAATCACCGTCTCAGCACACCCTGAGGGCAGGCCAGCATGGCAGGCTTGGAGATCAAAAAAGTTAAAGAAATAACATACATAGAATTTTTGTAAACAAGAAGAGGATCAAGGATTGGAAGGAGTACAGAGGGATGGAAGGGGTAGGGAATGAAAATAAGAATTGAGATGTTATGTCCAGGTGTCAACTCCCCACAATAAATATAATCATTGTGTACTGCAAACCTGGACTCATACATTTAATTCTATAGGTGACTTGAGGGCTAATTCCATGTCTTCATATGTGCAAGGTGACCCCATTAGCCCCTTCCTGGTAAACATGTTGCTGTGTTTAATATATCTGTAGATGACAGCGAACATTTAAGGTTTAGGGAAGTCACAGATTTTGCCACTGGCTGAACCACTGTCTTATTCACAAAATCCACAGAAGAAATATCTCTCAGATGTCACTGGCAAAACGAATTGTGTCTCACCACTACTCTGACAGTCTTTTGTAATACAGTCAATATTTATACTGAACATCTAAGGTTTGGTTATGCTTCCTTCCTTGTGTTGATTATTAAGCAGAGAAGAGACAAATACTGGTCCAACTTGTAGTGGATATACGGTCTCAGGATATCTATTGCATACTAATCTCACTCTTCAATTTTCCAACTTGTCATTTTCATCTCAAACTAAGCATTTTTGGAAAGAGGTAGCATATAAAATATTTTTTAATGTAAGCTTTCAG